TCAGATGACAGGGTATCCCTCAGTTTTAATCAAGTCTTAGGCGCGATAAGGAGCCAATGATCGGGAAACGATTCCACATCCCTCTCTCGAAAGGACACATGACGTGAGTATGTCTCATTTCCATCTATCAAAAACGTAACTGCCGGTGCACAGCACATCCAAAGGAGAAATTTGAAAGGAGTTGGGGAATACGTATTTGATTTGATTGTTTTGGTTTGTTTGTTTGTTTGTTTGTTTGTTCATTGTTTATGAGAGCAATTGGATTTATATCTCCGTAGCGCCTGACTTGACGGTATGAAAGGACAACGATTCATTAGCTCGAGAATCACAAGCTATTTATTCTTCGAAATAAATGAAGTCCTCAGACATACGTCTGAGCATACTCTCAAAACAAATCCTGACTATTATTCACAAATGTATCTGCGGTTGAAGATATATTTATCGAAAAGTTAATTAACAGGTGATTTAGATTTGTTGTGGTGCCACCCCATGAGCTCCCATACCTTACCGATTGTTATATGTTAATGATTTGTTGCCTCTTGATTGGAAAAGGATCGATCAACCTCGCTCCTTTTTAGAATGGTTGAGATGGCCCGACGTAACAAATAATTATATGCTAAAACAGTGAATGGCGTTGAATCCGATTGTTTACTCAAACTCCAAATATCCTTTGTTATTAAAATTCAAATTCTGAATATTGCATTTCTAATGTTCTGATTGGTTCACTCAACTCTGATCATCAGCTTCTATGCTGACTCACTTTCGTGAGTGCACCAACTGTTTCGGAGATGAAAAATACAATTATGCCACTCGCACTTGTTAGATACGAAATAAGTGAAAGCTATTTTCCATCTCATAACCAACGCCCATTATCTAACTATCGCCCAATCTCGATTTCACCCGCAATTTCTGAGATCTACAAAAAAGTTAAGGTATTCGGTATGAAAAACCTTCAGCGACGAAGATTTTATCCAACACTTGTCCTGCCACATAATCATGACAAATGTTTAAAAGCTCATACATGGTCTAGAGAATATGTTAAAGACTTTCTCAAAAACAGAGTTACGTGTTACAACCCGCTCAAACAACACGAAAAGGTACTGAAATTAGCGAAAACAAATACTGGGAAGTAGTCGAGGAAAAGTAAGACCTTACCAACATGTCATAAAAATAGAGATGGTGTGAAAAGGTTGTTCAGTTTTGTCAGTTTTTTTCTACTGAAGAACAACCTCCTTGCCCTAGGACTAACCCCATCTTTTTGTTTATTTACATATATCTTATCAACCAAGCGCGAGGGCCGTACTGGGAGATATCGGCCCGAGGTCTTGACAGTACGGACTGAGCGCAGCGAGGTCCGTACAAAAAGACCGAGGGCCGATATTCTTCCAGTACGGTCCCGAGCAAGCTTGGTTAATAAGAGATTTATCATACGACTGAAGTTCAAAGGGACACAAGTGCGGTATCATTCAAGTAGTTGACATACTTTCTCTACAAAACCGGGACTAGTCTCCTCGAGAATCTCTACTCCAAAACATGCATATGCAGTCTGCCACATACTTTACCAAATAAACATAATGTTTCCACTATACTTTTCACATCCAGCATCCGATTTCGGGAGTAAGAAAACTTTGGTACCGGTAAGTAAGGATTTAAAATGGGAAGATTCCAGGTCAAATATGTCAATTCATGTTAGTATGACCTAACTAAAAGACTTTCGAAGGTAGATGGGGTCTAGATGCATAAACAGAAAGTGAGTAAGTTAGGATCGAGAGAATTACATTTGCCCAAAACAGACTAAGTTGGAGTCTATAATTGAGCAAAGAAAAAACTATAATAATATTGAGAAACCAGCGAAAATGTACCCACGTACACCCCTTAGGAAGAAGAGTAGCTCCTCCAATCTAGGCCCCGGTTGTTCGAAGGGTGGACGACAGTAGATAACGCAGTATGTTTCTTCCTTTTGCGCTGGATGACGATATATTCCTCGGATGGCGTTCTTCACCTTTTGAACAACTGGGTCTGATTCTTGGATGTCACTTCATCCTATCAAGGGTTAAGTTATTGCTTACCAAAATCTTCCATGAATGAAGGTCAAAAGTCATGAAATGATTTGTAAATCAGTAATTAAGTCTTAAAATTAATGTGCTCCTTAACAGGTGACTAAAGTAATTACCTCCCGTTAAGACTGGTTGTGAGTGAGAACATTTCTGAGTCCTTGATACAAGTGGGTTCTTTGAGATATATTAAAAGAACAGATGGAGGTAAGACCGTCAACATGACATCTCTATGTATCTGCTCCTAAAAACTATATCTCAAGCTTTTTTTTTACCTCTTTCTCTACATAGCCTGCTTGCAGGCGGTAGGTTGTGTTTTCAAGCACGAGATTTAGAGCGCCGAATATTTGGTCGCCCTATTGGACGGGT